TGTTCAGCTGGCTTTTTGCTAGAAAATAGACAGATCAGGTCAAATGGCAAAAGCAAAATGGGGAAAAAAAAGGGAGAAAACATTTCCAGGCTGCTTCTTGTCTCTGGAAGGGCCTGGTTTCCTAGCAAGGAATTGTCTAAATAAAGGTCTGCCCCCAAAGGTACACTGTTACTGACAGACACTGTGTGAATGCTCTTCAGTGACACGGGCTGTTGAAATGTTGAGCTGTTGACCCAGAGGGCAGAAACTTGCCTTGAGTAGGTGTCAGTCTCTCTCTTACACACTTCCTTTGGAGTGACCCACCTACAAAGAAGTACATGATTTTGAACACTGAGTGTTGCCCATCAATCTTGAGACTAAAGAGCTGGGATGATGGAGGTGTTTTGTTATTCAAGTTCTACGCAGCGCATGCGCCTTCTCCTGGGTGAGTATAGGTGTAATTTTACTACCTGAAGCAGAAGAAACTTCTGGTAGTTGGGCTACCAATGCCAAATATTTTATCTATTTTTAAACAGCTGGTATTAGCAAGGCTGGTGCTCACTCAGTTTGCATTTGCTGTATCTTTCCTCTGTTCAGTCCTATAGTATGTGATCTTGACATAATATTGGTTGAACTCGGATCATTCAAGAAACCCACCTGAGCTCTTATAGCAGATATAACCTGAGCCAAACATGTCAGATTTTTAAGTTTCTGAGGAAAATACACACTATACAGAACACCTATGTAGAGTGGGCCCCTGTTATAGGCCAAAGAGATGTCAGCAATAACCATCCTTGAAGAAGCAGGATGGTTCTTCTACTACCGAACAGGCAGGTCTGTGCTTTAAGATCTGCAGTCTACCAGGGGATTGTGATCTTGTTTTAGGATTACAGCAGAAAGATGGGAAAATGGAAAGAAGTGTCTTCGTTTGCTTGTTTGTTAACTATTCTCTTAGATGAAAACATCATTTCATTTCCAACTAGGTACCTGAACATTTATGAGGAAGGCTTGCCATAACGAAAACAAGAGAGAAGAGCCCACAGGAAAGCAAGAGTTGCAACTACTTAACTCATTAGGCCTTTATATATAGACACAAACACACAGCACTATAATTTCAAAAACTCATCTCATGCACATAAGATATGATGCCTCTACTGCAGGTTCCACACCTACGTTAAACAACACAGATACCAAAAAAACCCACCAAAATAAACTGCTAAGAAATCTCAGATTACAACAATGAGGGTTTTTTTTTTGGATCAATCAGATCATTTCTTTGGACAATCTTGGTACCAAAATAACAAGAGACTATTCGCAGCTTTTGGATGTTATTTTGCATGGTGATATTGTCTAGATGAAGACTACACAAGGATTGCCAAAAAATGTTGTGATTCAATTTCAAGGTTCAGATATATTATCATTAATTACAAGCCAATGCTTTTGTAATCTTTGACCAAGAACATTTTAATGCATTCAACAGGTTTCGGTATGTCCTAGGACCTTTGAAAACAACGACATTCTGAGTATAATCTTTACACAGCGTAAAACATTTTGGGCAACAGTCTACAGCAAGAGAACATTAAGTGGAATGAACCCAGAAATAAATGGTTTTGCTGATAATCATGGATAAATGCTTTACCATGTATTGAAATAACTCTAAACGATGTACCTTTAAGTATTTTTATGTAAGCATTGTAGTTTATCTAAATGAGACATAACAGTAAACAATGCTTACTGAAAAACAACAGTCCAACTATATTAGAATGCAATCAGTGTTTTTTCTATTTAATTTCTATCAATAACCCTTTGACACAAAAAGTAACACAAACGTATCAATGTCTGCCTATTGCCATGAAACTTTTAGGGCAAGATTTTAGAAATAAATTGTCTTTCAGATTCTTTTCAGATATTTGATAATGAAGTGACCTTGTTCTCAGAAACACCAAATAGTGAAAAAGCTCAACAATTTTTGGATTTCAAGTAGAGTTCACAGCTTTACATAATCCAGTATTTTGTTTAGATTTGGTATTTTAGGCACCTCAATTTTATAATTTCAGAACACTGTAGTCATATTTTGACTCTAAAACTTCAATAAATGAAGAAAACTTCTGACCTGCCTATATAAATGCAAACTTATGTGAACATAAACCGTATTTCCAGAAACTATTTTTGTAGCCTCGACTTCGGCAGTTTGAACTCTGCTGAATGTATCAACAATACAAAACAAATGTTGACTACTTTGAAGACTGCCATGACATTATATCAAGGGAGCCTAATTACTGATTATAAGTGGAACAGCTGTTTGTTTTCCTTACGTACATCCAGTTTATTTCTGAGATCTAACGTGTTTGCAAAAGCCAAAATGCAGACCTAGAAGACAGTACCAATAGTTCCAACTGAAGCCTGGTTGAAGATTTGTTTCCAGTTCTTTGAATCTGTATTTATATTGAAAGTCCTCTAATTCTTTTTTCTCTCAAAAGTCAGGAAGCTTCAGAGACATTCTGCGTGTTTTTGCAGAACAGTGATTCCCAACCACTTAGACAGGTCTTGTGTTGGTCTAAGAGTATCACCATGAAGGGCTAATAAGCTTTGCTAAACCTGTAGTAGCTTTGTGGGATGCAGCAACGGCAGCTTTTAGGGATGGGGAAATTGGGAGTGGGTGGGGAATTAATTCTAGTCATATGTGGAACAGTGAAAATTTTCTTAAATGAGCTTCTGGTACAAGATGATTGGGAAGGATGGATTTAGTCAAGGAATTGGACATGCCTCATTAAGCTCCAAGATACTTAACATGAGCATGAAACATTATACAAAAGAACGTGATTTTCATAGGCTTGAATGAACAGATCAACATGTGGTTGCAAAATTCTGTAAAAACAGGTATCAGGAAATATTAAGCTGCAGCTTTCTTAGAAAAGTAATTGTCTCTAGAACAGGAAACACTGGAATTCTTGCTATGCTTACCTTAAACAGGGAATCTACGTGAATATGTTTTTGAGCTAACAGGATCCTTTCATTTCCAGAAATGAATACCTTAATAAAGTACTGCTTCCATGTCTAGGTCCGTTGAAAAATTGAGTTAAGAACGAAACTGAAGGCCTTCATCCCCAAATAGCAAAGTATAGAGTTTACACAGCAACTATATATCTATTATCTTATTGGACAAATAAAATTAAATAAAATATTTAATTTATTGCTTATTGCTCTGTAACGCCTTTGTAAACAAAATTTCTTAGGTCTCATTAACTTTCCATTTAAAGCAAAGTGTGTAAAATAGAGAAACAGAAGTTAGTGATAATCATGCAAGTCTGAAGATCACACAGGAGGCTTTGTTCCAGCCTTTTGGCTCAAATCAAACAGTATGTCATTTTGAGTTCTGACAAACCACTGACTTGAGCTATACACCCTGTGTTGACAGAGGAAAGAAGAAAGCTATTCTAAGAAGACTTTACCCTGGAATGTGCTTACTAATTAGAAAGGCAGGCTGTCAGAAGAGAGAAATTCTACAACAGATCTTGAAAACTCCTTTGTGACCGTGGGAAAACTTCTTAGCCTTTTTTTTAAAATGGTTACTTGATATTACTAGTTAAAAAACTTAAAATTTTCTGATGATGTACACTTTCCAAGTCAGTATTCTCTAATCTTTAGTTGACTATGATTGACAGTACAGTAATAGTGTTGAATAAATTCACAAGTTATCAAAAAAAAAAAAGGAAGGAAAAACAACTATTAAAACAAGTAAAACTCTTAACTGATCCTCCTGTCTGTTCTCATTTCTACTAGTCAACTTGATCAGTAGATGAAATTGGGCTGGTGTAAACCGACTATATCTGACCATAAGATGGTGCTAGTGCTACTGCAGTGTTAAAAAAATGGTACTGCTAAAGCAACAAGCATCCACACAAACGTGCTACTGGGTAATAGTTTCCTTTTCTCGTGACTTTTATGAAAGACATTTGCTGAGGTCCAGTAACAAGAACTTGTCAGTTCTTGCACAAGTTTCTGTAACTGCAGAACGTCTTATAGAAAGGGAGCTTAGAGTGGGAATAGAAAGTGAAAGACGATCTATGTTTTTGGCCTAATCTCATTTACACTTGAGACACCTGGACACCTTTTAAACAAAAATATAGAGAGATCTAATTTAGAAAAGACTCACCCTGTTTTCCCATGCTAATGTGCTATGAAAATGGTTACAGAAATTCATGAAACAGAAATAATTGCAACGGTAGAGACAGGATCTTCCTAGTCAAAAGTGGCGTAGTCCTCCTAAAGCACAGTCTATTTCTTTGAAGTAAAGTGGTAACTTCTCCAATCACTAAGAGAAATTAAAGATGCAATTGAACAGTCCTGAATTTTCCCTCTGTGTTGTAATGGTGATCATACATATTAGCCAGTACATTAACACTTGTGTATACATACATATATGCACACACAGCATACATGTATATGCTGTGTATTTTCAACATCTACCTAAACATTCCTAAACATGAGAACATGGTTGTATGGACACCCTTGTAACTCTGCTCAGCTGGGAGAATCTTCAAATTAGCCAAAGGCATGACTGTGAACTCACAGTATCTTCCACCTAGGTTTCAAGTTTCCTTTCTAAAGTACAAACACAATAATTTTTTCCAAGTATTTGAACTTTGGAAAAGTATATGCTTTCCTTAAAAATTAATATAATTATTCTACATTTTGAAAGTCACAGTTAAAAATCAGCAGGAGATAAAGAATTGATTTGCATTTAAATGTACTGGAATTTGGCAAAAATACAAACACTGCAAGACAAAGAGACTGTCAGTAACCATAATTACAGGGGGCACAAATAAGCTTTTTAATTAAGCTATTGTGTCTTTTTTTTTCAGTGAAGACATCTATTCAATTTTTCTCGCAGCCGTATTTCTACTTGACAGTGTTTTTCAACACAGCTCTCCCTTGATCCCTCTCCCAGTTGAAAACTCATTTGCAACTCAGTTTGTTAAATGTTTTTCACTTCAGGTTTTCAGTTTGTGAACTCCTACCTGCACAGGACGACCATCTTCTTGGCCAATCATGTTCCTCCAGTCGTGCAGCGATCGCTGGAGGCTTTCCAGCCCAGTCTCCCAAAGCCTCACACCGCCTCCCATGTCCACACTAACCAAACCTACTTTGCCCAGTGGTGCCAACAGGGCATCGGCGTCCGAGATCTTAGAGAGCCAAGATGTATATGGAGAGAGAGATTGTGATCTGAAAAACAAGAATTATTGTGATTTTTATTGAAGCTGCAATTAAAAAAAGGATGAGTATTTCTGTAGTTAAGGTGACAATTAAATGAAATTACATCCTCATTCCATAAGAGACTATAACTAAGCTCTGCAGACCCACTATTCATCTGAAACATTCCACCTGCTGAAACTGGATATGACCAAAAAGTACTTGTCAGTATATAAAGCACTATAAAAGACCAGGCTGAAAGGGAATGTGTTGCCTAACCCACTGCTCTACCTTATCTATCTGAAAACAGTCAGTCTTTACAAAAAAACAGAAAGAATATGAAAAATTTAAAAATGTGCCACAGAAAAATACAAAACTACAAAAGAAATAGGAAAGAACATGACCTGGGCACTGAGGAAAATACTCTTCCATTAACTTAAAGTAATACCTTTCTCTAATGCTTTAATAAAAAATGAAGATTTAAACACTCATTTAAAGATGGCACAGCTTTAGGCAGAGAGAATCTTAGCACTGTTTTAAACAGTCAGCTTGCAGACAAACATTTACTGCTGAAACAGAGGGCCTAATAGCTACATAATACGAAGGGAAATTTAGATAAAGTAGGAAAGATTATTTGCATTTTTTGAGTACTGTTAATGATATGCATAATAACTTGGCAACTTGTACTAATGCTACAATTAATAATCTTCAAAGATAAAAGAAGCAGTAACACATACGCGTCTACCTATGACTATATGCTGAAATTGCCACGTACTGATTCAATTGAAGAAGAGTTACCTTAGCATTTGACCAGGCTAACTATGCCAGAAGGAGGAAAGGTTGTTAGATTTTAGCATAGAACTATTCATATATATGAAAAGTCACTTTATCAGTTCTTAATGGAGTACATAAAATCTGGACTTCTGCTCAGATTTGCCATAAATAGCTTAAATCCTCATACTAGGTTAAGGGTCATGATGCTGAAGTTTGGCTTTGTAATTTTTGTAATTTCTTATAAAATCCAAGTGTATAATAAAGTGTGGTTCGCTACTATTTCTATGTTAATGCCTTACATTTTTGAACGACTGTGTAAGATGTAGGTCAATGGATCAAGTATAAAATGGTGAACAGTCCAAAATTAATTCTCTATTAATTCAAAAATTCCACATATTATTAATGAAGCAGAATTAATTTAAACAAGAATCAATTAATATTGTCATAACCAACATCAAATGGATAGAATTAAAAAAAAACTAAACAAAAAAACCTGATGTGTGGGTTTCATAGATGTGGTATTTAAACATGCAAAGTTGAGAGACTGCTATTTAAACCAAAAACTTTTATTATTATTATTATTGCAGTGGAAAATGACAATTTGTAACAAAAATACAACATTTGTATCATAAAACATTTGCAAATATGCTCTACAATGGTGACAGACAGATGTTAAAACCAAATAGAAGCCGCACAGTCTGGCTATATTAACATATCATACAAGATCCTTGTTTATCATGCAAGATACTTGTGAGGGAATGTATACTTCCCAAAGGGAGAACCAAAACATAGAGAAGCTCAAGTTATTTTCAAGGTGAACTTTATACTGGACGGGAACTTGATTCCTGGTTTCCTAACACCTAGCACTGGATCATTCTGCCTGTCTTTGTTAGACCCTAAAGACAGAGAAAAAGGAAAAGAAAAAAAAAGATAGCAAAACAAAACGAAACAAAACAAGGCAGGGGATAAAGTGGGTGAAGAGGGGGAAAGAGCAAAGGGAATGAAAATCAGAAGATAAATCTACCTTTCATATTTACTAATTAATTGTTACATTTTCATTGATATCACCTAGTAAACAGATAAAAAAAGGTTGACAAAAACATGCTGCAACAGTTACAGAATTTTACACACTAGGTATGAACTATTCTTACTTTCCACATCAGAATAAATATTTGCTTATCCTGAGGTAATAATACACACTAAATTCCCTTTGCTCTTCCTGTAAGACAGAGGCTGCTCTAATCAATAAAATCACTTACCTAGGAATGGCAATGTATTTGATTTTCTTTGAGTTAAGATCTGTTACTTCCAAGTATCCAGCAGCTTGTGGAGGAGTGACATCTGAAAATAAACAGACATGTATTTTCCTGCTGCATGATTAACTGGTTATTGCATTTGCATTTAGCAGATTAAATTTGAACATTTCATTATACAATACCTGCCAGAAAGTGATAAGCTTTCACATTCAACACAGGAGTATAACTTGCAAATATGGAATTGTTTTACTATTTTGATAGTGAGCAACTAGACAGGCACAATTATAAAAGAACAATGTATTTGTATAGCAAATGTCAAAATTACACACAAATATAGCCCTACTCACAAAAGCGCTAATCAGGCATTACTGCAATCCCTAACTCACTGCTTTTATCTGTCACTGAAGACAATGTCAGCTGTATATCCGACTTTAAAGGCATATTGAGGAGCATTTCAAAACTTTGTGCTTATGATTCCCACTTGAAGATTTCTCAATAATATTAACCTAAATGTTGTTGCCTTAAATTGAACCACTCTTTTTGCAGGTAGATTCTCAGTATGCAAAGATTTTATAACTCCATAGTAAATAGCCCTAGACTATCAGGCATTTAATATTCTGTTTATAGATAGTTTAATGAATACAGCTAATACTATGGTCCCTTCTTCAGAAAGAAATGTGTGTGTGTGCCTACACTCTGCCTGGGCTCAAAAGTGGCTTCCAGTTAGGAGCTGGCTTTTATCTGCCTGGAATAAATTGAGGCACTTATGTTTTTTTCAGTAAAAAAACCAGAAGACTGAATTACACTGCATAGAATGGGTACAAAATACCATTGTCACAAGATGAAAGCAAGTCTAGATTTCCTTCTGAAACATATCTTTTATCTCCTTGAAATGAAGGAGAGCCTCAAGTTACCTGCAGAAGTGTTGATGCTTGCACACAGCACACACAAAGAAGACCAGTAAGATCAGCTGTATAAGGGGATCTAATATTCAAATAAGTATAAAGAATAACCCACAGCAGCACTTTATGCATATCTATTGTATCTACATATCTATAGGATGCATATCTATAGTAGCACATCTATTGACTTTACTCATCTTCATAAAAATGGAAGTATCAAACATATTGGAAACAGGAAAAAAAAAAGGTCTGGAAAAATGCAGGTTTGTGAGCCACAGAGCACTTTTTGTTTTGCCTAGATTTTGTTAGTGTTTTAAAATGTGCTCTGTCTTTCAATAGTAATGGAGAATAAGACACATATTAAAAATTCATATGAAAATCTTGAACATAGAGGCGATACTGAACTGGAAGGGGTAGAACTGTGGGATAAGAATTAAAAATTCAGTTAATAAATTAGAGAACACAAATCAACCAAATTAAATTGTAGAAAGACAAAGGACTAGAGAGTACGAAGCTGAAGAAAAGGTAATCAAATGTTTAAATGCAACATAGGAACAATTGGCCATGCCCCAGAACTGCAGTCAAGAATCTTACGATGAAACATGAACATCAGACCTAAACAAGTGCAATTTTTTCCTCTTTTGCTGAAGCCCGACTGAGAAGAATAGCTATGCGCAGCTCTAGACATCAAACCTCAAGGAAAACATAGAAACATGAGATAGCCCTGGGGGTGACAAAGAGGTTAGAACAGATGGGCTATAAGGACAAATATAAGGAATTAACTTTTTTTGTCTAAAAAGATACTTTTGTTTTAATAACACATGTCCCATAATACTGAAAACATCCTTATAGAGAGAGCAATATTATCCTGACTGTGTGGAGGTGACATGAAGTACTTAGCTTTGTTTACAGCAAAAAAAGCTGGATACTAGGAAAAGCTTTTCTTATACAAGGAGAGTGAAGCATTACAATAGGCCAATTGTTTGACAAACATCAGTTAAGAAGAGTCTGAACATGTGTCATCCTGTCCCAATATAAATAGATGATGTGTTGAGGTTATTCCTGTAACTCTGTGTGTTACACTACATGCTGTTCCAGTTACTGTCACACTAATAGAGACACACTCTAGTAATAGACTGTTATTTTATATTCATATATAGAAAGTGCTGAGAATCCAAGTAAATATTTGCTCTCAAGTAGCTCTCATTTCTATAGCTTTGTTTTTAGAATAAACATTAACACTTATTTGCTGGATTCTGCCATGATCTCTTGTCTGAGTTTATATTTTGTGGTCATACATCTATTTGATAGTCTTTGGGGAAATTATTACTTGTTATGTTTTTTTTTTCAAACATAACTATTACCCTGGTTTACAGTTCCAATAAAACATAAAGGAAATTATTTATTTGCTTGTTGTTCGTGGAGCAGTTTCGGTAGTACATATTGGAGCATGCTAGAATTTGGCTGAGTACTTTGAATTATTAATAGAAATGGAAGGTTGTGTGCCAGAACTGACCAGTTGTCCAAGAAGATGAGAAAGAAAGCCTGATAGATATGCAAATTGAAGCAAAAATGACTTCTCAAAGGCAACATAAGACATTAGTGCAAGAACTTCAAGGGACTGCCACATACTCAGTTTTACGTAATAGGATGCCTTTGCTTCACTACACCATCTCCCAGCAAAGGATACAAAGACTTATGAACAAAGCCTTATACAACTTCTGTAGGTAAGTAACTACAGGTTTCCAATACAGAGACAACAGCACAGACAAATCATCAAATGTTCAAAGGCCCCTATGAATTATGCAGCACAATCAGGAATAAGCAACCTGAATCTCCAAGGTACCAAGACTGTTAAGTAGATCCTGGTAGTAGTTAAATGTGCATTCAATTAAATATTCTGTCAATGAGTGAGATTGAGAGGCAAACTCCAGAAGAAACAATAGCCCAGCAGAGAGGGTTGCAAATACGGGATCTCAAATGGGCACAGCAAGGACTAGTACCTTATTATCTCACCTTCCAAGCGAGTACATGAATGCATATCTCTTTTCTTCTGTCTTCCCTTTTTCACTTGGAAAGATTTTGGATTAATGCCATAACAATGGCAATGCTAGGTCCCTTTAATCTAGTATCCTGTCTCCAAGACCACTTAGATGCTTGAAAAGTTTAAGAACAGATAAGCACACACAGTACTTTTCTCAAGTCACCAATCAGTTCCAATCTAGGGTCTTCTTAAGCTGAATGTGGTGTCTATGTTTTTATGTCTATGTACTTAGTAACTTTCCATGAGTTTGTCCAGTTTTCCTTTGGATCCATGTTTCTGCATTCACAACATCCTCTGGGAAGCAGTTTCACAGGTTGGTTCCCTGCTCTGTGAAGAACCACCTCTTGTTTGTTTTGATGGAAGTTCATATTAGCTTCATTAGCTGCCCCCTAACTCTGGTACCGAGTATAAAATTGTTGCTTTTTCCACATCTCTATGCCATACATATTCTTGTAGAACTCCACCATATGCCCCTTTCCTGATCTTGTCTTCATAAGCAGGAGATTTGGCTGACATAATCTTCCTCATCCTTGTTGTCCTTTTCTGAACTTATCCCAGTTCAGCTTTCTCCCACCTTGAGACGGAGGACCAAAACTACACAGTGTTAGGGACACATGGATTTACACAACAGCACAAAGATGTTCTCTGTTTTTTCTCTGTTTCTTCCCTAGTAATTCTTAATATTTGATTTGCTTTTTTGACTGTTACTGAGCTTTGAACCGATATTTTAATGAAACTATCTATCATAACACCAAAATCATGCTCCTGAGATGTACTGATCAGCCCCCTCATTTTAGATGTAGAATTAGAACTCTTCCTTCCTTTCTTCCTGCACATTGTATTTATCTATACTGAATTTCATCTGCCATTTCTGTCGCAGTCAGCATTGTAGTCCTTCTGTAATCCTTCATGGTGAATCCCTTCTACCATGAATAACAACCAGCATCATCAGCAAACACTGTCACCTCACTGTTCATTCATTTTTCCATTTTTTTCATGCCCGTGCTGAGTAGCACAGGTCTCTGAAGGACTCCACTCAGCTCCTCCTCCACTAGAAAAACTGGTCATTAACTGATAAATGGAAATGTCTGAGGTCCTGAAAAAAGCTATGGAATAGAAAACTTAGAGCCTTGCTCAGGTCCAATTTCATTGTATCAGTAAGCTCATATTAAACATGAGTCAGTTAAGATCAACTTTGGTAATTCATAAATTAAAATGTCATTTAGAAAAGAAAAATCAATGATAATGATCTCCAAGAAGGCCTTAAATCTTTCAACTTATATGGCCATAAAGCACTGTACAAATGATACCTCATAAAATTTTCTATAAATTTCTATAAATTCTATAAAGCTATCAATCACTATTCACTCGTTCAGACAGAAGCCAATTCTCAGGCAGATGATTTGCTCAGGTCACTGGTATCCAGGATTCATGAAGAAAGTCCCGTGGTTTTTCATTACATTTATGTGGCATTATGAAGTGTTATGTATCACAGCAACTTAAAAGACTTTTAGAAATAACTGTCAAGATCACAATTTTAGGTACCATTTGGAAGCACTGTATCCCTCCCTCACTCCCAAATTTATAAACTAATTTTAACAAAATCAGAAGATTTACCTTCTGAATTTTTATACCATCCACTTCAGAGTCAGATTTTTATTTTACCATGAAGGCCTAAAAAAAATGGCCATCTGACCCATAAGCATTTTATAAAGTATGAGAAGATTACAGCCTGAAGTAGTAAAATTAGTTCCAAGATCATCATGACAACTCTAACTATGTTTTAATAAGTTTGATCTTTTTAAACGCTATTTTTTTTTTAGAAATGGAGGTAACTTCTGTTTTCTATCCTGTTTATGTCCTTGACTTTGCTTCTTTAGTCAAGTGGCTGCATTATCCTTTTAGTAATAAATAAAAGGACTTCTCTACACAGGTAAATTAATCTGCACTAAATGAGGGCAGACATATTAGATAATTTATTTTGTAAAAGGGAGTTAATTTGGAATAAAGAGTTTATTCTGCAACAGAAAGTTCAAATATAGATCAAATCAGGAACAGCTCCTTGAGCTGATGAATTAAAAAAACCTGCCATTCTACCATGTACAAATATTTTGAGGGGTTTCAGTTTTGATAGTGACCTTTCCGTGGAGATTTCTAGAGGTAATTAATGCAAAACTCACAAATGCTGTTATTTAGCACTAATTGGTATATTTTTAGTTATTAGCTGAAGAAGCTAAAGATACAACGATAACAGAAAGCTTGGCATGGCAGCACAAAAAAGTCTGAAGGTCTGTAGTCTACACCTGCTTTATCAGTGTACAAGTGGAAGACGGTTTTGCTGTATGTGAATGTTGCTCATGCAACATTCTCTTGGGCAAGAGAAGAACTAAAAAGTCTGTGTCTCTTCAGTTTGGAGAGAAGGCAGATGTGACTGAAGTTTCAAAGTCATGAAGTTGATAATTAAGGTGAATGCAGAACTATTATTCACCCAATCCTGCAATGCGAGAATGAGGGGCACTTGATAAACCTGGTAGGAGATCACAGAGAGTAGAGAACTTGCAAGCTTTCTGGGGAGACACACAAGTTCAAAGAGGGACCAAACTTGTGGACAATAGGTCTATAAAAGGAGATTTCAAGGCTGAGGCAAGGATGTCCCCTGCAACATCCCTAGCAAAAGAACTGCAAATGCTGAGAAAGTATGAAGGGAAAGATACAGAAGGGACAAGACTCACATGCATTCCCAAAATAACCTCTCCTATTTGCCCTGCTGGAAACAGAATACTGAGCTAGACAGACAACAGGTTTGTCTTATTACTGTGTGTCTGCGTGGCACTTGAGTAAAGGTTGGAAATACTGCTGGAGGGTGATTTCTGAACTGGAATGACCATGATTCCAGTTCCCATTGGAATATGGTTCCCAGTGTGGACAGAGGGAGATCTCATCTACTGGGATAGTCACAGTGTAGGTAGCTTGTTAATTCCTCTGAAGTCTAATTCAGCATGTTAATAAGATAAAAATTAATTTAAAAAATGAGTGCAACTACTTTCATTCCTCCTCATGCTTGCTTTGGGATTCTTTAAACACTTTTTGGAAAAATTAATGAGTGATTGCAGTTTACAAAACAAAAACAAGTGTGTACAGTTGTTGCAGTACAAGTATATGAACCTCTTACCTTTTGGGTAAATGTCTTTCAAAGGCACATCTCCAGGTGCTAAAATTCTGACTATTTGATTAGAAGCCAATAAAGTTACACAATTGGTTTGTTTTGCAGTTCCTGTTTTCCTCCGGGCTCCATAATAAAATGGATCAGAAGGAGAAGCATGTTTGCGACTCAGAGAGGAGTTTCTTTTCCAGCTATAGACTTCACTAGGAGACTGCAAGAGAGAAGGAGTCTACTGAATAAAACGTTACTATTCTTGAGCCTAAGAACAAACACTTCTTGGCAAGTTCCACTTCTTATCTGATTTCAAATCAAATGCAGCTACTGTGGTTACCTCTCATGATACCACATGACAAGGAAAAGACCTGGATTATTTTGTCATTAAAAACTCCTATAGGAGTGAAAAACAACGGACTACCTACACAAGTTTTAGGAATTGAGACTCTCTGAAGATCTGAAGTTGAATCAACTTTTTTTTTTTTTTTCATGTAGAACCAGGAACACAAAGCACTGAAATAATCTAATCTGGAATCAAACAATGTAACAAACTGTTACGATAATCTAAGTTTCCACTAATGTAGATAAATGCAAACAGATATTTCGGTAATCAGTCCAAAGCTAGACATTAAGGCTGGGATTTGGCTTCAGGTTCAGAGACATAAATGTAGGTATCCATATGTGAGCCAGGTGCTTCATCTCCTGCTACAGCCAGTAGAGCCTAGAGAATAAAGCATCTCATCTTGAAGAAGGTCTCTATGTTTGGTCAGCTGAGCATTGCTACTACCAACAAGAGTTTAGGTACTTTGTTCATATTAAACACCTACAACTTCAACACTAAATAGTGAATCTGAAGTCTTGTTACATCACCTCACATTCACCTTTAGCACTCCATCTCTGACATCCACATGGACTTTTAAAATCATGTGTAAGGAAAGAAAAGGCCTCAGTCTAAATCAGGGAGAGCAAAATGCTTCATGACCAGTGTTGGTACTGAAGTGTATAGCATCTTTAGTACTCCTTCCTCTAGACCATCTCCCTTTTCCAGCAATTAACTCACATATATTCTAAATAATATAAAAAGCTAGTATAATCATTCTGGTAATATAAATACAAATCAGGTAAAATTCAAAAGCTAACTGCAAAGATAGAGAATGTCTTACTGACAGAAACATATTTTTTGAATCATTTTGGATTTCAGAGTATTTTCTTCAATCATTTGGCTTTCCCAAACTTCATGGCTGTTAACAGTTAAATTTTCTAATTTGTCCCAATTTATTAAGCAAACATGATATAGAATTATTTATTACAGAAGCATCATCCTTTTTATGTACTCACTAGGTAGTAAATATAAAGAAATCCAAAAAATTAAACATACTGCTTTTATTTTCCCTGGGTTTACCTCCACTCCTTCCAACAGCCTTAGTCATTACACTCTTAAGTTTCACTTTCCTTTCTGGTCCTTTTCTAATTGTGTCACAGGAGCGAGCAGATTACATGCAGCATTTACACTTAACTACATTATTAAGGAGTGAAGGGACTGTATAGTTTTTGTTACCATTTTCCGTATCTTTTTTCTTTTTCTTAAATCTAGAGTCTTGCTAGTGCTGCACACTGGGTAAAAAGTTCACACTGAACAGTTCAAAATGATACTGATATCCTTTTTCTCAGTGGTTATATTTAATTAAAAATCTATAAAAACACATGATTTAGAAAATATTCCTCTAGCCAGCACTACTCAGAACTTACCTACAATGAGTTTTATCATTATGCTGTCCAATTTCTTATTATTTCAAACTCCACTGAAATCCCTCTAGATTAGACTACCCTACCAAATGGTGTACACTACATGAATTTGTCATACTGTCATTCCCTTCCTTTTCCATATCATTTGGTAAACAGGTACTTAACCGGTTACAGAATAAATGAGATCATTTTACTTCATTGTATAATAATGCTGAGTATTTACCAAGAGGTCTGGGAAACCAATAACAATAGTAGCATAACTATGTTCATCTGAGAAAATCCTGTTGGGGGAGCTGATCTTTTGTCCCACAGCTGCACTGAGGTTTTCTGAAGATAGCTGGTCACTTGAAACTGCATGTGGCACACACAGTTCTGATGCTAAACAGGGAAATTAAACAAAATGAAAGTAATTAAATCCAGATGTGCAATAGGAAACAATATTAACTGTAAGAGTGCTGAGCACTGATCATTGCTATTACTTTGAGCATAAAATTATATAAAAGCAGAAGATTTGATTATACTATAACACAGAGAAGAGGTCAGGAAATAATGTTACTTTTGTAGAGTTAAGTACTTAAAATCAGGAAATACTAACTTTGTAGTTGCTTATACTACTTAATTTTGCCCTCTACTGTGCAAATGAGGCAGGAAGCCTATGGAATAGAACAGCATGTGATCTCACTGAAGACTGTTACAATGCAAATGCACAAAAAGGCAAAATGTAGGTTTGCACAGGTAAGTGTCAGTGTGACATTTCTTGTCATCACAATTTCAATAATGTTTGTAACACATTTCTGGTAAATAATCGTTTAGTTTTCTTTTTTTTTAAGCTAAGGGAAACTAAATTTTATTCTGTGCAATTGTAACAGCCCTTTACCTCTCCTCAAATTATCGACACAGTCAGAACCCACTATCTTTAGTTCTGCAGCATACACTATTTACACTTAAACGGGCAGACTAATTCATCTACCTGGCAGCGGGAGAAAATCTTTTCTCCCCCAAAGGATGAATGGGCTACTGGTTTGAGTCAGTGGGAAAACCACACTGTTCTACCTTTTCTTAGTTCTCCTGCCACAGGTTCTGTGCAAAGAATGAGAACAGGCTGAAGATGTTACATTTGGGGTTTGCTGGATGATTTGGTAAAAAGTGGAGAGGGGATATAGTAACTTTTTAGATTGGAAGAAATAAGATAACTAACTATAAAAATAGCACAAAAAGCATGCAGCAATAAACTGTCCATAAATACTTTGAGACTGGAAATTATAATAACGTTTCTACCCATCTGAGGAATGATACTCTATAATGGTTTCTATATAAGGTAGTAAGAGGAAGGAAACTACTGTGCTCTGATGGAGCTTGATAAGCTGATAGAGTAAACTGTACAAGAGATAAAAAGGATCCTAGATATTTAAGCTGTCTCTAGACTCTTTGGTATTCAATTTATTGCTGTTTGTGTAAAATAAGCCGTACTTGTTATTTGTCAATAACATTTGCTTGTATCGTGTTTACACTGTGTTAATCACATTCTTCACACTTATGCTAGCCACAAGCATCCGGATTTTTTCCCTCTTTAACAGATATAAAGTGGTTTCTCTATTTTTTCCTTCTGTCTCTCTCAGACACACTGGAGATAGGCCAAATCCTGTAAACTGTTAGGTGGGATGCACAGGTACTTCCAGTGTTATTAAACCAGGTAGACCAAAGACTTTGTGTACCGTGATCAAATGCTCAGGGTTGAAAATGTCATCAGATCTGAAGACAGGCAGATCTTACCAGGCAGAATGATGACCACTGGAGATTCTGCCTTCTTATGTAGCTAAGACATGCCTCAATGCCTAACACCATCTGGGAATTTTACTGAACAAATTCCCCCTATCTTTTAACACAGGTGTGATGGTCTCAATGGCCTCCTGTATGCTATCTGCAGAACTTTAGAAACGGTGACTTCTGTTCTGCTTTAACAGTAGGTCTTTTGTATTTTACAAGTGTTGGGAAATGTCTTCCAGCTCATTTGAGTGTGTGTGACAGACCTGTAACAGTATACAGACTGGACTCATCAACATATTTGGTCCCTTCTATCGCTACGTTCTAATTCCTGCCTAGTTGTTTTTTTTCCTTTTTCATTCTGTATGCTTGTACCTTTCCCAAAAGCCTGTGACTGAGGGTCTTAAATGCTACAACGAAACAAAGATGCTTTATTCGAATAACCTGAAGTTTGAGCATGGAATTTGCCATGCTTTGTGTAAAGTTATTATTAACCAAACATGATAAGGGGAGGACAAAAAGAGAATCAGAGAGAAGGTTACCCAGACCTTTAAAGTAAAAGAGCCTTGTTTGTGCAGCTGCAAACACAGAAATAATTAAAAAAAAACCAAAACAAAGAACAAGCCAAGCTTGCATTCAATACCCAAGCTTGCATTCAATACCCGTTGTTAAGCCAAATCCCATGTCAGCTGGCTCTTCACTCAATGCATACAGCTGGCAAACCTCACTGTCTTCAGCTTCCATATGGTTACGCTTGGTTAAAAGAAGTTTCCTGTAAAGGATACACATTTATAATAATTCCTGATTAAGTGCTTGTAACTCTAAACAAGGACTTTTATCTTCTGAAATAGTGAAAACATTCTACATTTATATAAACAAGGTAATCAACACCTTTTGCTAAAACTAAACACAATTTACCAAACATCTGTGAGATAGGAAAGGGTAAGTCAGCAAGTGGCAGATTTGTCTTCTGGTAACTATTTACACACCTTTATTTGCTATGCATTTATAAAAATAAGACAGCAGAGTACTATTTTTTTCACATGACGATGAAAGTAAAGCAAGCAGGCACTAACTCTGGATGATATGGCTGTATTTCCAAAGCTAGGTCCACCAACATTCTCATTTCTGAAGACCAACACCACCTCAGTAAAAACAGTATTTACATGCACACAATCAAAGCTAGTCTAGATTTTCAGAGGCATGAATTCAGGCAGACATACCCTGTTCACTTCCTACTCTAAAAGCCCACCTGCATGTTCACCAGAGCAAATCTGAACCTTAAACACCAACTGTTTAACTCTAGCCAGTCTCACAAATTGAAAAAGCAACTCTGAGATCAGGTGAATATAAACAAGACACAAACAAGAAATAATGGCATCAAGAAAATTGGGCTTAACTAACTGATTTGTTCCATTTTCCACCAAGAGCCATCGGTCTTCAGCTGCCAGGAAAACAGACTTCAGGTTGATCGGAAGTGAGATGGTATGAGTTTGACCCTCTAATACATCCAGTACAATAAGGTGGTTTCTGTAAAATTGGAAGCCAAGAAAAGAATAATCAGATAGGGATGTACACAATGAAATCTGTTACAAATCAATATAATACAAGGATATAATCTACTCTCACCCTGCTTCTTTGTAGAACACCAGCCAGTTTTTGTGTGAAAACTCTCGGCACATTTTGTAGTTGCTCTGTATAAAAATACATCATGCAGCAATTAGTGTTTGCTAGATTCGTCCCAGTGAGTTTCCTCGACTCCCCTGAAAGTGTACTACCTTTTTCCTTTATTTAGAATAATCCACAGCACTAATTACCTCTCAAAATGCTATCTAGCCTGCCTTGTCCCAAGTCATATAGTTGCATCATAATTGAGTTCATTATTTTGGACATAATCCCTTGTAACAAAATGTTGCATTATTTCTAGTTCTAGCTCCAAAGAGGGATATTTTAAAGATACATATCCTCAGATAATACAACTTATATTTTTCATATCACTGTTCCATAACAATGCTATTTCATGTGTAAGGCACTTAAACATAAATAAGAGTAAACAATTAAGTGCTCGGGCCATAAAAGCAGAAAGAGAAATTATTTCCTGGGCCAGTATAATAGATGCAAGTGCTATTCCTCACCATCTCTTCTTTGCTGCTCCACCAAGACGTTCTCTTAGGAGACTCTTGAGCATCAGGTAAGAGTAGAAGTCGGTGAAGGGCACCATTGTTTGTATCCAGCAACAACACAACATTGCTCTGTAAACAAAATGTAGATCTGTGTAAATCTCAAGTCCATTTAATAGACTACAATAAATCTATCTGAAGCATTTTTGCAACTCTAGCAACTTAGGACATTTTGAAAAGATGATATAGATTTTGTTGGAAAACAGGCTGAATCTTCTTGGTTCATTTCAAAGCTCATGGAGAAATTTAGAGGTTAAGTACATGAAAAAAGGGCTGGAATTATATTCCATTTTTTTCCATAATGTTTTATCTATACATCTCACATTCACTTCCACATAAACTCTAGGAACTAGACTAGTATGGCTTACATGTCTAAGCTATAGTCAGCTACAGGGGAGAGACAGACCAATTTTGTTCTGTCAAGACACTAAAAACATTTAATTTCAGTTTTTATGTTTTCTTAACATTCCTCTAAAGTACTCATTACTTACTTTACACTGAAGGTGAAAAACTGGTGAGAGAAGAAATGGCTTAGTACTTTCTCTCCAAGTTCATACTTTTAAAGCCTATTAAATATCCCCGTGCGTGACAATCCTTCTGGGACCTGCATGCTCAGACAGCTTACAGTGTCAGAGGTAGGACAACTCTCGGAGGACAGCAGGATGATTGAAGAGGATGGAGCTCAGAAGCAGACAGGATACTGAACAGAATGGTGCAAGTGCCCTCCACATATCACATGTGAAAATACAGTATGCTAAATTTTGAACTCCTTCAGATTTCTCAGTTTGTTACTCTGCTCCAGGGTCCACACATCTTGTCAAACGATGGGGGCGTTTTGAACATTTCTTACAAAGTATGATAGCTGCTCCTAATGTGTTTAACTACGAATTCAAGAGAACAATCATTCAGGGCCAATCTTAACCGCATCAAATGAAATTTGAAAGGTACAAAAGAACAAGTTAATTAAGCCTTGGGTTGAATTTTTTGTTTGCCATTCAAGGAAATGTTAGGTTCTGCAAGGACATTAGGTTCTGTAAGGACTCACTAAAAGTAAACTGTCTACGTACAACATCTGCAATAACGCACGATAGACGTTAAGGGAGTAAAACATAAATTCCCACAAATTCTCCTAAATAAACCAGATACAAACAATCTGAGTCACAGTGGTTTTGTTCTTTTTGGGTATGCTTCATACTTTCACTAGGACTGTTTGGGAGAATTAACTTTATTTAATAATGACAGTCATTTGAAGCTAAATATGGTAAAGCATTTAAAATATTACCACGTTATTTGGAGCATTTGGGAATTTCAGTTAGAGTTCAATATTTCTAAAAAAAGAAGTTTGCTTATGTATTACAAACCAAAATTATAGAAATGTGGTTCAGGAAAAAAACAGGGCATTTGCTTTGAATTTTGGTTTTCTGCCATATTTTATTTATACAACTCTGCAACAGCACTGCTGTACTAAAGCAATGCATTAGCCTTCCACATGAGACAACGAACACATACGAATCAATTACATTCTTCCACTTAGCGTTAAATTAATGAGAGCAGTTGGTAACATAAAAAGCCTCTCTACTCCACCCTTTTTGATGTTAATGGTTTCCTTCTGTGCTAAGTGACTGATGTATATTCTGTCTGTGTTTAAGAATAGATTTTTGCGTCACTTGCGAACACATCCAAGAGCAGCTTTGGCAACTCTTCAAGTGGGCTGGGAAAAGACATTGGTGTGCAATTCCACTGTGTTTGTTCTTGACTGGGAGAAAAGTAACCTTTGGGTGACCTCCCGACCCCGATGTCTGGAATTCCAAACTCTGGACAGATGCAATAACCAATCTTGTGAAGTGGTGTGCCTTTATTTTTAGTTACTGCAAAGTTTCCCTTTCCTTACCGCTGTTTTTATTTTAGCCAGCATTTTCCTCTTAAAAGTCCTTAAACCAAACAGGGCCATGATTTCACTTTGCGGTTATGGGAAGTTGTTTCTTATGGTCTTGTAGACAGAGAGGGAAGGTAGAGGAAGGAATACACTCCAATTTCAGAGTGGGACAGTACAAATAATTCAGTTTAACCCTCTTGTATTTTTCTCCCTGAACTCACTTGCAGTTTTTTTCTCTTCTGCCCTTGATGCTCACATCCCAAGCAAGCAAGCTCGCAAACACAGGCTCTTCTTAGCTGTCAGCTTCAGATGAGGCTGATTCTTGGTTTGGCAGGGTAACTCCTCTGTACCTCTCCTTGCCTCCTGTCCCACAAGCATCTTTTCTATTCGTGCGACTCAAGGACCCCTTAAGTGATACACGTGTAACAATCCTGACATTGTAAATATTAGGCACAGATACAGACATATTATATTGTCATTAGGTTCAAGTGAAAAAAGTCTGTGCAAGAATTTATGGTTTGGGGTTCAAACCTCCATGCCTTCAGAGGAAGGGAAATGTATGCAAGTAGATTACTGGTGCTCTGATTAACTTAAGTGGTGTCTTTTAGATGATTTGGGAGACTTGATTGCACTGCAGATTTCAGTGAACTGAGAACAGCAAGTAGAGATACAAACTTTGTGCTTATAGGAAAGGAAAGCCTTCACCTTTTCTACAGAAGGTGCACACCCTTCTATATAAGCACACGTTTCCTTTTCTATCAGCTGTGTTTATCGAAAAGGAAAGTCTTCTATAATATCCAAAAAAAGAACAGAATTTAATAATGTCAACTAGTTTTTGAAGAAAAAACACCCTTCCTCCTGAAAACATACATCAGAATATTATGGGGACTAGAGGTTTCAGACGTTACTACTAGTATGTTGCAGGTACTTCATACACAGGTCCCACTTGTGTTTCAGGCTAGATCACAAACTAAGAAAAGTCTTCTTTTAAAGGATGTTTGTCATCTTCTACACAAGGTGGATCTCTGTGTCAGCTTCTGTGCCACAGACTCCCTCACTCCCTCAGTCAGTCAGAGAGCTTTGACAAAGAGCTCCAGGAGCACGTGGGACAGGGAAACGCATTTCCCTCCCTCCCTCCCCCACTTCCTGACCAAGAAAGATAAAAGCAGAGTTAAAGGATGCTGGCAGGACACCGCCTGGGCAAAGCTTGCTGTGCTCCTTGAAGTAGACTGTAGGTTACTCTGTCTGTCCAGTTGTAGCCTTTCCATAGAGCAAAGTGCTTGTAAGAAAAAACGGAAGCGTGCAGTTAATTTATAGGCAAATCAATTCTCCATGTGCATTTTCCTCCTATAATCCCATACAAAATAATGCATAAAGTTCTTTTCAGTCTGTATTTGCACTCCTTCTGAGCAGTAAAAGAAAAGTGAAACAGTGCAGAAAGAAAAGTGAAACAGATGAGCGTGAAGCTTTATAGGAAATAGGGGTATGCCCTGAACTACTCGCGGGGAGGACAGGGCAGAGGCTTTGCTGCTTTGAAAAGATGAACGCAATTCCCATCTTACAAGGATATGACCAGAGATTTCGGAAGAGTCTTTTCAAAATCTATCAGCTTAGTCTGAACAAAAAGATAAGAGTAAAAACAGGCTGAGCTCACGGAAACCAACGGCCACTGCGAGGAACAGAATCATCTACTCTTTCTTCCGAGAAGATGTAAAGGTGGCTTAAAAACAGATAAATCTCTGATTTGTGCTATTAAGTTAAATCCCTGAGAAGTTTAGTTTTAGTAAAATTTTATTTAAAAGGACAAGAAGGAATGGTGATTTTTCATTTTATTTCACTGGAGGGTTCTCTTGAATCCAGATGGATGTCATCTGGGAAATAAATCACATGAGCTTATTTGAACAGCCACAATATCATCATCTCATCCTTTCCAATAAGGTTATCATCCTTTTAAAATCATTCTTTTTTGTAACTCAGACAGAAACATTCATCTCCAAAGACCTTTGTTAAAACAAAAAACTGGGAAAAATCTTTAACGTATTATATTATTTATTAAATACCAGCTGTCAAGTGGATTTTTTAAAAATGAATAAATGCAACTTCTTATTCCTACAAATACTGTTAATATTTCTTGGTCTTTTTGCAAGTACACATAGACGAACCTCTAAAGCATCACACAGAGCATTTACATTACTTGTTTTTCTTGAAGATCTCTTTGGTGCACCTTTAGCACAAGTAGCTAATCCTTGGAGCCTTGCCTGAAATACAGATGTGCCACTAATCTACTTGTCTTAACATGTGAATGCTGCAAATTCTGAGCTTACGGCTACCAGTGACCTTAGTATACCTGAAGGTAGGCATCTTGACTATATGTCAAGGCCCCTTCTGTAGCCAGTGAAAAGAGAGAGGTACCTCAAGAGGGCAATTCACCATGCTCTACCTTAGGTGGGATGAATTGCTCTTGCAGATCACCTTCATCCTCCCAACAGACACAGAAGGTACTTGGATGATTAGCTTAGACTATATGCTAACATCAATAATAATGGATTTAATTTCATATACAGCAATATCCACCTCATTTCACAGGTGCACAAAGAAAGCACATGGTTTTTCCATGGCTCCACTGCAGGAAAAGTTGAGAATAAAACCTAAACTCTATGTGGAAAAATTAAACTACTTGAGAATCTCTCTCCTGATTCAGTGGGAACTAGAAATGCAGAGATCCTGACACCTGAGCTCTAACGTAAAGGACAGCAGTGACTCTGAAGACTACAACAGCAGCATTCTTCTGACCTGTGCTTTGGTGCCTCATTTAAAAACCAATCCCAAGTAAGTTACTAATGCAGTCCATGGATACAAACAAGCAATACACAAGAGAATCCTTTTTCATCATTTTTTCTGTGCAAGATGGTTACTTAGGCTCGTCAAGAAGTCTAAAATTACTTTTGAATGGTGTCCTAAGTATACAATGACCTTTTGCAACCAAGTTTGTAGTTTAATGAAACATACTTTCACACTCAATGAGTAAGGTCTATCTTAACACTATGTAAAAAGCCCTAAGATAATGCAAAGCATTCAGAATATTGTAATTCTGTATTACTTTCCAGCAGTGTAAACCAGATTTATTTTCAGACAGGATTTGTTCACTTACAGCACTTGCTAAGAAAGGCAAGACTGAAACTGGTAATATTTAAGCTTTGCCAGAGAAAAACATGAGGTTACAGCTCAACTGAAGTAATCTAGAAAGGGGCACTGAGCTACCATAGTCTTTCCACAGAACAAACTTTATTTCGGAGCTTAATTCATACTGTCACTGAAAAATATATTCCACAAGGATAGGCAAAACCAGTCACAGAGTTAACTACCTAAAGCTTCACGGATGAACCTTTGATAAAAACTTCATTGCTGACATCAAATGCTACCATGATTTGGTTAAAAACAAAACTAGCAGGACAACTATTTTCATGGTTGGAATTTCAGAGACTTAGAAAGCAAAGAATATCGCTGGGCTTTATATTAAAAAATGTGAGACATTCTAAACGTTCTTAAGACACGAGATAGACTGTCATCTGTTTTACAACTTCCTGCATTAACTTCGCCAAAAAAGGCCAAAAATTGTTTAGAACCAAACAAACGTGTTATGTGCATTTCAAAATACCCCAAATGGTACTTCTATAGCTGTTCAAGACAACCACACAGACAAACACCACAAGCAGGTAACTTCAGAATTGTATTTTTTTCAGTTGGCATTGCAAAGTGTCCAAGACAAAGCTAAAGAAGGCATAGGCAGTGCTACGAAAGGCGGAACAATTGTGTTTCTCATAAGGCACACAACTTAACTGTAGTGTTTGAGACCAGCAAGTGGTGTCAAAACTTGACAAACATTCCTGGAACAACAGTATCACAGAGATACTAGTTACAAAATGACTGAAAACTACTTAATACCCCAACTCAATGTAGGAAAGGTTCTTCTAGATCAGAGTCTCTCCCCTACTGAAAAACAGGCAGAAGAAATTTAGAACAACAAAAGGAAAAGGAAAAACCAACCAACAATAATGACCAGATTAAATGCCCATGTCAAACCACTATGACTGGTAGGTAACATAATAAACTATTATTAATATTTTAAAATGAACAGCAGCAGCACTGTATCAACTACCATCTCTTCCCACTCCTGGGCAAAGAAGTTTTGAATTGGAAATGTTCCAATCAGTTCATTGATAGTAACGGAAAGTGGAAAGCATGTGGAAAGTATGCAATACTTGACTTTAAAAAAAGTATTTGAGTCAAACCAACACTGAAGTCATCAGTGGTTCTAAATTTGCATTGCGGATATGCTAGATGTCAAGGCTTACATAGTCTTCTTTCTAGGTTCGGTACTTCAGAAGTTACAGAACAAGAAATATCAGGATTCACAAAATAAATCAAAAATACTAGCACAAAGTAAATATAAGCAACATTTTACTTTGTGACTCAGAAAATGTAAAAAGTAAAAAGGGGACAAGATTGCAGCCGAACCTAAGTTCACGGCGTAAACCAGCTTACTTTGTACTTTGCACTTTGCAAACATATGCTGCTTGACTGATACTGCTGAACTCAACTCACTATCTCCCTTCCTCCCACGAAGGCCAATCTCCCTCTATCAGTAAGACAAGTAAGATAAGCAGGGAGAACTCAGCTTCAAGAACACAAAAGGACATCATCTAGCTAAAAAGTGCAAGAGAAATTCTCCACATAAAAACTAAAGCTTCAAGTATCGTGAAAAAGAGCACATTCACAAGGGGGTAGGCTTGTCCAGGCTATTTCAATCTATAGAGGCAGACTTCTCAGCGGTCCTAACCTTATAATACTACTTTGCTCATCACAAAACATTTAGCGGAATTTTAATTTTTTTTACCTCTTCTTCATGTAGAACCACTTGACCTTTGAGTGGCTTTCCCAGCGGTGCCACAGTCACAAAAGGTTGCCAGACACTTCCAACTGTTCTTGGGAAGAGGTCATAAAGATCCACAAAGTATCCACTCTTACTAGAAACGTTCATGAAGTACAAGGAAACAGGATTGCATGTAGTAACGTAAAGAACATTTTCGGTTTCCTCTTCTGAAATAAGAAAATAAAATTAATGAAAGGCTACTGACATCATGCATTGCTCTTCCAGAAATATGTACGTCAAAGTCGGCAAATGATATAGAAAAATGTACAGAAAAATTACCACTGTTGACACAGGGAGATAAAGAGAGACATGGTCTCTTGAAACTAACAGGCAGAATCTTGCCACAACGCTATTAACTCTTTAAAGAAGTAGTCCAAGGCACATTTGAGTAGACATGACTGCAGTGCCTGACAGCTGCTAGTATACACAAAATCTGTCCAGATGTTTTTGTTTGCTTATAATCTTGGTTCTCCTTCCTTCTCCATCCCATCCTCCCTTTTAATTCATGTATTTCATAATTAAACATGGGATGAATGCAAACTTCGTATGGAACTTTTCCCATATAGCACCTTCCTCACTGATTTCAGACAACTCTTGACATCAATACAAAGCCACCTAATCTCTGTTTTGTCATCATAAAAGTCTCTTAATGTATTTGAAACTAAGGCTACAAGCAGAAAAAGCAGCACTCCAATACTGATCATTAGCAATCTCTTTATAATACACAATAAAGTTTAGACATGTGTAATGATGAACCCTAAAAACATTTATGAATACTCCCAGTGACACAATTCACTTTGGGACATAAGTAGTATAGGTAGCTAAGGCAGGCTTGATCCAGGGAGAAAGAATTATCAGTATAAGCACAGGAGAAGAAAGCACAGCACTCTGCAAGTTAAAAGATTTGTATTAAAACCGAATGGAGAGAAGAAAAATCAAAGAATCATTTTTTGTGAAATAATAATAGTGTTGAACATACAAACTAATCAGACTTGCAATTCTGCAGCTGTGTTCTCTTTAATTACATATCCTTCTCTTTGAGAAAGATGCATATCCTTACAAAGACTACACTGACTCAGTGAAATTATGCTACAATTTCAGTGGCCGATTATTTTTGTATTTCACGTACTGTTAAAAAAAAATTGGAAAAAGATAAATTATTATTCCTATACTCCATTCCCATATTCCAATTCCTAGTATTATTCCTATACTCCACTGCAAACAAACCTAGAAATACTACTGTAAATGCACTGAGGTGTTGTTATTGCACTTCTAACCTCTTGTATTGCCCTTTCAGATTCTGCTGTTGGCCATTAGCAAGCACTTATGAAGGCAACATCCCAGGCCATCCCCATCTCCAGGATATTTCATGTATTTACAATATTTGGGATCATTACAAAAGTTAGTAGCTTTTCTTACCGTACCTTTTGTTACTGTGACATCGCAAACTAAGTTAACTTCACCCAAAGGCAGCGTCCAAAAGGCAAGCTCTTCTGTGAAATTGAGGGACCTGGCTTCATGTCGTTCCAGTGGAAATCCTTGAATATTTAAGTACACAGGGCCCTAAAATAAATTATAACAATGATGGCTTGCTAAAATATTCGACTCACCATTCTTTATGAAAATCTTGAACTCTTCTTCAAGAGGTAATATTGCTAACAATACAAACAGATCAATTACTAAATAAATAAAAGGGAAAAGGAAAGGCTTCTTTGGAAGCTCTCTGAATGTCCATACTGCCATTTTCTTCACAGTATAGAAACTGTCATGCCTTTCCTCTTCAGTCTTTTATTGGTTTGGAGCCATTATTGCTCAGCGGCATGAAGGAGGTATCACGTACTGATAAAACACAGTCCATACAAGGAAAAAACCAGAATATTTTTGTTTCAAAGAAGTTCAAAGGCAATTTCTTATTATATAAAGTTTAAATCTCACCCCTACATCACATTAGCAGTCCAAGTTTTTCATTATTCACTGTAGGAATAATTACTGAAGTTAAGCCAAGAACTCAAAGCTGAAAAGGACTTAGAAGCTTTGGCTGCAGGTCAAATTGTACCAAAGGTTCAGATTCAAACCTGGCAGTGCCAAAGACCCATAACAATTCAGCTGCATGCAAAATAGAAACAGAAAACAGCTTTCTTTTCAGTCTCTGATCTTATCCAAAAATTGAGATCTGGGGCCTGAAACTGGCCACCTCCAAGCATCCAAACCAGCTACAAAGTTCCTCAAAATATGGTATTTTCAATATGCTTATAAAAACCTCTTTTTAAGAACTTCAGACCAAACTTACTGATTTTAAAGTACATCTTACATTGTGAGGGCTAGGTATACAAAAACATTCATTTTTCTAGTCAGTATAAAAAACCCAAGAACAGGTAACAAGGGTCACACTTTCTATATACTGTTTTTTCTTGAAGCAATTAATCACATTTTAGATTCTTTACATTCTTTACATCCCAATATGTCAAAACAGTATCATAAGAATAAAAAAAAAAAAAAGACAAACCTTTACTTCTATTTTCTGAGTTTCTGTTGGACACAGCAATTTCTGTTGTGTATTCCCCGGCTGATTGACTTTCCAGTAGCCCATGAATTTATGATCTGGTAATGGCAGTCTGTCAAACAACGTAGGAACAAATGAATTTTGACATTTACTAACCAGCAACTGATACGGAATAAATAATTCTCTTGTAGAAAATGCTTCCTCGTTAAAATATTTCATTTCTTCTATGTTTTAAATCACAAAAATTTTAGCCTTCTGGAATACTAATACAGTCACAACCTAAATAGTATCATAAAAGCAGCAGCAATTCACATAATACGGCCTCAGAAGGAAAACTTTTCCGGTCTGAATTATTTGAGATCTGTAATAAAATCTATCCAAATTGTCTCTTGCTTTGCTTTATTCAGATCAAGTAGGGTGTGACAGTACCACTTAAAGGAACTTCTGTCAGTAGCACACTCATCTAAAAAACCAGTAGAATAAGTACAGTACACACTGTGGCAAGTTAACCACGCAACAAAAGTTCAATGAACGATTTGCATGTATTTTGCCACTATTCAAATGAACAAAGGCAAAGGACTATAGATATGAGAGCATCTCATTGCCTTCTGGCCAGTACAGCCTACAGAAAGGACAGTGACATCTTTGAAAGCCTCAGTGGCTTGTCTTGGTCTAATTTCTTCATTTCTGTACCTTTTACTTAGGGAGGAAATATATGGGCCACAGCAAAACTCATTTATATCGGAAAAAAAAATGCTGGCAGATGAGAAAGTAGATTGGCAGCAAAATAGGGACGACACAATTTTTATTTCTTTCCTCTGAAGTGATTTGCAACCACTGACAGCAGTTTGACTTCGTTAATTGGCATGAATACCTTCAAGCTAACAAACTCACCACTTTTGGTTTCTTTTATTTGGGATCGGTTGCTCCTAAAGAGACTTTCTATCAAAATGACATTCTGTGTTACATGCCGTTGCACATTATTGTACAGCTACAGCACTTGGCAAGAGAACAGAAGACATTCCTTCTCCCAGTTTCTATAAATATCTCCAAAGTCTATTTTAAGGAAGTTGTCTTAGACTAAAAGTCTGTGCTTGGTCTCTTTTGTCCTGTCTGATGATGCTTGTTCCTACTGTTACAATTATTTCCCCTCTATCCACCAACCAACCTGGCCCCTCTAGACATTACAGGTTTGTTTAATTTCTTCTTGATATTCTTTTCAGAGTAAGAAGAGATCCCAAATCAAAAAACCTCAGTTGGACTGTATATGAAACTTAGGGAACTTTTATTTTATTTTATTTTTTCCACTAGGAACTTAAAGGAAAAGTCAGGGAACGAACACGAATATCCTCTAATATTTGCAACTCACGCAGTAAAGCTGCAGTAACATTTCCTACAGGTATATTGACAACAAACCTCAAGCAACCAGAAGCCAGTACTCACAGGCACATAGTCACCCAGTCTCTAGTGCCAATCTGCATTTGGACCATCTGCCAAGGCAGTCAGGTAGCCAAAGACACTTTTTGCAAATAGAAACTGTTTTCGATGCTATAAGATCACTGGTGCTTTATCAAATATCCAGCTGCCAGCAGTATGCCATCAGGGCATGTAATGAGGAGAGTGCATCTCATTAATTCCCTCTTTTAGTCAAAGAATCAGTAGAGTCTTCATTGCCTGTTTGTTGCTTAATTATCAATAGATACCAAAGTTTGAAGAGCGTTTTATTTTGCTTTCTTCCTCACTTCAGTTTGCAATCTTCCATTCTTTACACCTAGCTAGCCTAGTCAGATTCTTCCCAAATTAAGAAGAGAAATTAAACCAGCTCAAAAAAAATGCAAGTACAATATATTGTAGATCACAACATTCAACACGATTAGGAAAAAACATTCAGGATGTACTATTTCAACACATACACAATTCTTAGATAAATTTATTCATGCAGTCAGAAAACGGGCAAAAAATCAAGTCACTAGACTAAATGTCAGTTTATCCATGAACTGGAATTTTACTTCAGGCTTCCATTTGGGTTTCAAAATTATTTGCTGGCAAAATGTTGGTTATGTCTTGAGCCAAAACTGTCTTGTACGCAAAAAGAAACTGGAGACTTTTTTTTGCTATGTGACTCCCAGTAGTATAATCTCCGATATGCCTATAATCAGCAATAATTGTTTCCCGTTAACTCAACAGAACATCAACTTCCACAAGGATTTGGACTTTGGTTTTAATTCCTTCCACATTACTCCCATGGACAACATCCTAGAAATCAACAGGTTCACTAATAATCATGAATACTTACTAAATTTTAAAATAAAACATATGTTAATAACCAGCTCTAACCAAATACCCTGCTTTATATAGCAAAAGAATTACACATTGCATTCCCAAAGAAACAAAACATTTCTACTCTGTTTCAGCATTCTGGAGATTTGCTTTGCTAACATTTCCTCTCTTCCCTCAGGAAAACTGACTTCTCCTTTCTCCTAGATTCTTGAGGTTTTATTCTCTTCTCTGTTTCTGAATGATTTAGTTTCCCTGAGGCAGCAGACCAAGTCATCATGAACAGCAAAGAGGAAGGAAAGGTAGATCACAATGTAAGAATAAAATAGAAAGCAGAATTCATAATACAGAGTTCTTTGTCAAGAGTAATAGGGATCTTACTCTTCCAGGGCCTGACAGTTCTTTTTTACTCCATCACACTTCTCTCTCATATAAATCTGGTCTAAGAAAGACCAATACTATTGAACAAGCTGGTAGTATTAAAGATCTTATAACCTGTCTGCCTCCTGAATGATTTTCAGGAGAGAGTGAGGGTACAGAAGGACTGTAACAACACGCTCACACTGAAAACATGTATACAGCTTAACAGTTTTCATTTAGTGAATTTATACGATATGCAGTGAACGAGGGAATTCATCTTCTTTTCCCAGGACTTGCAACGAGTAAATTTTGAAAATAACCTGAAGTGACAATACTAGTAAAAAGCTTCACAAGGCACTCCTGCCACTCTGCTGTATTTCAAACTAATTAACCAAATATCGTTATGGAAAAGGCAGACAGAATACTATGGAAATGCCACCACTGGCAAAAATCTGCGAAGCAAAGAGATCTGATGCATGTAAAAAGTGCACTGGCTGGGTAAGAACAGTACTGAAACTCCACTGCTCTCTCCAGCTGGGGTGTACAGAGTGATCTGTGATTTTTGCTTTCCTCAAAAGCTGGAAAGGGTTTCTAGAACAGAAAAAGTACACAACAGACTGCAGTAAAAGTCTCCAATCTTAAGCCAAGACTTAAGAGCAAGTTCTAAGGAATTATTCCTGATCAGTTCTTTGATTATGGATCTGTCAAAGCCTGTTGCTTAAGGAAAATGTAAGAATAAATAAACATAAAATATTTCTAATTTTAAATCCTGGTTTTCCACAAGATCACTGTTGTCCATGAAATGGTTATATAAGCAGGTATTTTGTTTAGAAAAAGTGATGGCACAGGACCTATAGGTGAAGGGGCAATTCTGAGAAAAAAATTTACTGTTTAGCCTGATTGTTTTAATGCACAACTGTCTAAGGGGAGCTAACCTGTCAAAAGGTAATTCTCTAGTGGCTTCTGCTGCTGGAAAACTTTGAAAAGTGACACCTACACAACATCATTTATTTTCATTTTTACATTTTTGATTTTAGAGAATAAATTCATTTTAGGTTAATTAAAAGAAAACAAACACAAACAAAAACCTAAACACCAAACAACTGTGTTCAAATAGTCAATAGAACCTGCTTTATAACATTATTTATTTAGCTTTCTCAGAACATACTGGAAAACGGCTACCAATCTTGTAAGGCTGAAGTTCCACTGAATGCAGACTCTCTACAGCCAGTTATCGTACTAGTACAGCTGCGGACAGGAACTATGACAGACAACAAAGCTGCTTAATACAATGATCTTGTAAGGCAGCTCAGTGCTGGCACAGAATGGATTACTCAAGGACTTCAGTAGCAGCCTGTGTTCTATCTAGCTGAAGAGGCTCCTATCCCACCTAACTTTTTTGGACTTAAGTAAGATACAGTTTGAAATTAGGAAAATTCCTTACTAACCAGACCTCCATACTTCATTTAAACATCTTTTGATTAAAAATATAAGCAGCAGACATACAGAACCATACATACGTTAGGCCTCCCGTTCCCTGACAGTCAAATGCAGACCCTCCCTCCTCTGATTCCCCCGCAATGCACAGGCTGGACAAGAGACACATATGGCATGAAACAGGTCCAACAATTAACTATAGATTACCTGGGGGGAAAAAAAACCCAACCCAGTCTCAAGAGAAAATTCAAGCCATTGAAATTTATATATTTACATCACCTACAAAAAATTCAGTACATATAAAATGAATATTGAAGTTATAGCAAGCACCTAGAAGTGGACAGTGACAGGAGGAAAAATACAGAATGGCAATTTCATCAGGGATAAATGCCAGAATTAGAGCTGAATGCTGTTTTACCTTGGAATTGCAAATAGTCTGAACTGTGCACCAAAATGGCAGATTAACATGAGTTCAGATAAATGTGACATAACAGATTTCAATGGGAAAAATAAAGTATAATTGTACATAAAGAAAGATAATGAGTTAGTACAGTGAGTAATCCATTTTACCCACTATGTCTTGGCAAAGCATCACAGACAAGCCATCTGCTTTACACACAATACCGATAAAAATTATAAACTATTAGACAGGTGATACCAGGAGATACAGACCATATCATTATGTTATAACCTGACAATACTGAACATGTCAGTGCCTTGAAGAATGGTCATCCTATTTGGGGGGGAAAAAAAAAACCCACCCAAAACCCAAAACAATCTTAAAGGAAACAAAAAGCCCAAGTAAAGCATTACTTCACAGGTCTAAAATATGATACTAAGTTTGGAAATAAATGAATTAACATCTACAAATTGATTTTTCTCTTGAAAAAATAACTACTGCAAGAATTCTTTTCTAAATGGTCATTAGACACCACCTAATCCTTCCAAGATTAGGTATACTAATTCCAGAGCCTAAGTTAAAATTCCCATAAGGGTCACTAGTACCATCTGTTAAATTTCCCCTGTAACTTCAGCTGGATATAACCCTCAAATTTCCTTCTATTGAGACTCTGTATTCTAGTGTGTTGCTTGTGTGTCTCATGCTTTTGTTCCTATATTTACAGCAGTTATGTTTCAGCAGCACTTTCAATAATTCTGATCTATTCAAGTTTTCTTTTAGATTAAGTAATAGGCAACACACAGACTTCTTTAAAACTTACTAAAATAAAATATTCACAAATTCCTTGATCCAAGACATGCCAGAGAGTACCTGTATAAAGGAGTCGGCATTTCAGTACAACGAATTTCCTGTCCTAGAATCTCCTGGAAATGCTTCTATATTGCAAAACATTTTATTTGTACAGGATTTATATTCTTATCAATAGCAATGATTTTGCTGCACGTATGACTAACATTCTCAGGCAGAATGGGTTTGGACTATTATCCTAGTTTTCACATTACTTAATAGAACCACTGAGCAATTTATTATGCCAGCTAGTAAGTCTTAAAAATCTTGCAAAGTAAGACTGGAGCACAAAAGCAAAGATTGTTGTCACTAGGATAGCGTAGAAATCACACCTAGTAAACCTTCAGACTGCCAACTTGTGAGAGGCTATAAGCAGACAGGAAAACAAGCTTAAAATTGAAAGTGAACTTGATAAATTGGAGAACTAATAATAAAAAAATACAATACAGTAAGAAAAATGTAAGCACAAAGGAAAGCTGGGGTAAGTACTGGGAGGGTTCTGCAGAAAGGATCTGGAGGTTCATGTTTAGAAAACTAGATGCGAGTTAAACATTGCAAGAAATGCAAACACACTGGGGTTTTTAAAAGGGACTGCCACATGAAATACACCTCTATTCTATATCTCACACTACTCTACTCAGCTCTAGCAGAAACTAACCTCCCCAGTAACACACACAATGCTTAAAGACTGACACGAATCAAGTGGAGAGAGGGGAGTAAAAAAGAAAAATAAAAACAACCAGAGGCCTTAAAAAAGGGGGAAGATTGAGAGAACCGGATGGGTTTAGTCTAGAGATGACTTTCTAATGGCAAGGATATTTAGAAACAAGACTGACTTGCTTTGGGAGGTTATAGAACTCCATCTCTGAAGGTTTTCAGGCATGAATCATGACAAAAATAAGATAAGAAGGTTTTGGATTAACTTTCATCTCTTCTGAAGGAACTGGGATGGACTAGATTAGCACCATTATCCTACTCTCCAATTCCTGGAAAGCAATATAGAGGAGGTCAGTATTCCAATTCTAAACATGTAGTAGCTTCAGGAAGTACCTTTTCTGCAGTAGTCCAAACATCATACCCAATTACCTCAATGTGTCCATCACGGGAGCTTGCAATATGGGCTGGAACAAATCTGGAGAGATTATCTAGATGCTCTTTTACCCCAAAGCAAAATAAACTGCGCCTAAACCATTCCTGAAAGATGTGTCTGTAATTCAAGATGATCCACCTGTGGTTTACAAGCTCCATAGGGGTAAACCTCATGACCAACAGCAAGGTTGTTTTGGAATGGCGCAGCAGGACACCCTGAAATGCCAGCTGTGGTGAATGCAAGTGAGATACTGAGACCAAGACTGCTGAATAATCAGAGCCAGGTGGTCAGCCTAGTCCCAAACTCCCATGGTGCGATCTAAGAAAAAGTTGTTTTTATCAACTGTGTCTGAACTGCTTCTGTAGCTTCTCCTCCTCTTGGCCTTTGTACACACTATGCGCTCATAGCTGCCAATCAAGTGAAGTTTTTGATGAGCACCTTGAGGGGGTCTTGTCAGTTTGTCATCCTTGGTGTAACCTGTCCTATAAAGCCTCAGTGATGAATTCAAAATGATCAAGTGATTATCCCTAATTCAGTATGACCAGATCTTTCTTCTATCTTCTCACTTCTAGACTGAACAGTCCCCAATTACAGCAGTCTTTCTGTTTCCTAAACCTCTGATCTTTTCATTACTAAAGAGTCCTCTCCAATCCACCCATGTAAACCCACACCTAATACTTCTAAAAAAAGTGCAAATTTATCAAAAACTATGACAAATATCATAATTCTTTATAATAGAAATTACCAACTGAGTTTAGTAAAGAAACTATGGCAAGAGTTTCAAGCTTGTACTGTCAATTTGGCAGACATCGTAGCTGCTGTACTGGTTCCCTAGGCACACAATTCTTCTGTCATCAAAATTAAAAGGTATACCACAGTCATTACACTGCCAATCTTCTTTTATTAGTTATATGTAGGATGTTAGATATGATAACAGTGGTGCTCCAGCAGGAGAAACCTGCACATGGACACCTAATATCAAGACATCTTATCATAAGAATCAGTCCCTCCTTAGCAAATATGAAATATATGTGTCCCATCGTAAAATCAATTTTCCATATATCCATAAAGCTTTCTTCATGAAAGGGAAATATTTGTTTCTCCATAAATAGATAATGTATTAGAGTTCAAGCCAGAGTAAGTTTTCTAATTGTTTTTCAATATGATCTGCTTAAGCCTGTTACCTGTGAATTGTAGAAGAATGAGTTAAATCTGTTTCATAATTTAGTTTGGTCTTAAAAAAAAAAAAGCTATTTTGATTCTAACCTATGAAAAAGTATAAGATGTAACATGTCAACTGGTAACATAATTCAAGAATAACAGTGATATACACATATAAAAACGGTTCTTGGAGCTTACACACATTGTCCTATTCTGCAGAAGTATTTTTGTAGAGCCTTTTTTGAGTATCAAAGACAAAAATCCCACTACTACTGAAAACAACTTTATTTTCTTTGCTACTGATTTAGGTGATAAATAACAGGACAGATATGGGTTGCTATTCAATTAAAAACACAGGAGAAGAAACAAGTATTTCCCTTTATTAATATGTATCTGTTTACCATACAAGCTATCAATATGTACATGGACATTAAAGATTAAATATCAGTAATAAGCAAATACTCTATCATAAAGTAATTTATATTGTTGTAACTTATCTGGAGAAATATAAATTTGAACCAGAGGAGGATTGGCTTCAAGTATTCCAGGTTGGTTTTAAATCAGTTAGCAGCAAGATAACACACTATAAAAGAGTGAATATGAGAGATCTGTCTTCTTAATATATATCTTATGTTATTCTTACTCCTTGGCCAGCTGTACATTGGTTGGTTTTGCTCCAATAGGTATCCCATATTTGTGCAAAGTGCTGATTAAAATTTCACGCATTTCGTTGTTGTAGGAGTCAAAGTCAAATACATTTCGAACAACATTTGCCAGTCCTTCAGTTGGAAATTTCTGTGAAGAAACAAAGACCCTTAAATTTCTTTTACTGAATATCTGCTAAATTACAGCATAGCATTAAATACTTCTAAAACGACTAGTTATAACAGTAACTTTGTTCAACTTAGACAAGTGCTGAAGTCATCTTTTTTTAGTTTCCAGAATAAAGGTATATTGCTTCAAGTCAGAATGAAGTCACTGACACTAAACCTGAATTAAACAAACAAGCAGGAGACAATTATTTAAATACTCAACATCATTCATTCATGTTTTACAGAACTGTTTTCATTATACACATAACAAGATGGTGTAATCATTGGAACATCTAATTAAATATAGCCTGTATTTTTTAAATTTGGAGTTTTCTGCTAACTATGAAGATCGGACACAAATATTTGTATAATGCAACTATACAATTCATTTAAGAATTCTGAATCTTAATGTTGACTATAGAAAAGCAGAAGATACACTGCTTGCTTACTAAAAATGACTTTAGGTCATGATGGATTTTAGTAGAAACAGAAATTCACTTAAGATTTGCAAACATTTGTTTTCTCAGTGAAGAATACTACTTGAATTGTGCTGTGTACATAAAAAAAAGTTTATTAAACTTTCATTAGTATTTCCAACAAAGGAAGCTTTGATACTGAACTGGACTGATGATTTAAGGCCAGCGTGTTCTTCCAGGTTTCAGAATTGCCGCTCAAATATTCCCACATCTTTTAATTATTATTATTTCACAAGAAGAAAACATATTTTCCTGCCTCTCATTTCCCACTAAGACCTAGAAGGCAGTAAGACTTAAAAGTCTTGACTGAGCATTCAGTTGAACTCATGTAATATGAATAAACTGAAATGAAGAAGGGTTTTTTTGGTACCCGCAGAAGACACTGTAAGTGTGAAAAGCTGTCTTAGCCTTTCTGCAAACTGGTTCCAAGTGCCTAGTCAGTAACTTCCACTGTCTTTTAATTTATACTGAAACTCCAATAACAAACATTTACTTGTCCCCATTTAAATTAAGGCAGATTCCAATAAACATGGATCTTAATATATGCAACCACAATTTCAGGCTTAAACAAGTGGATTTTTTAAAGGAACACTTAGGCAATTTAAAAAGAGTATGTATTGTGCAAAATTTAGATTTTACTTTTCATTGACAAAAACCACTGTTTAAGTTGAACATGTTGACACAGCTAAGTCATTGAGCCTTTTCACAGATA